TCCTCCCGCGCGGGGCCGTCACAGCATCTCCCGGGAGACACGGCCGCCGCCACGGGCAGGGCGCGCTCGCCGCCGCCGCACCGAACCTCCAGCCTCCGCCCGCGACCTCGCCGGCCGCGGCAGCCCCACAGCCCTGCGGTCGCCTCCGCCGGCTGCAGGCCGGCGCGCCGTTCAGCGACTCAAACGCCGCGGCGGTTCCGGGTCCTCCTCCCCGCGACTCGGCGTCCCCGACGCTGACGCCGCCAGCCCTGTTCTGAGCATTACCCTGGGCCGACCGACCGAGTACTATATACCCGGGAGGGGAGGGGAGGGGCGGGGCGGGACCCGGGTTGGGGGGGCAGGGGGCAGGGGCGGGGTGCCGGGGCGCGGGGCGCGGAGGGAGGGCGGCGGGGGAAGGAGATGGCGGCGCGGAGGCCTGAGTTCTCGCGAGTGTAGAGGCCTCGGCGCCTGCTCCGCGGGAATTTTCAAACTCTCGGAGGAGGAGGTGGGGGGAGGGTAAGGGAGGAAAGGGAAGCCCACTGGGGAAGGGGCGGGCATTTACATAAAACAGGATCTCCCCGCCTCCAAAGCTCTGACGGGGTCGGGGGTCGAGGCGGGGGCGGGGGGGGGGGGTGTGTGTGTATGGAAACTACGAGTCCCGCCATGCCTTGCGCGCCACACGCCTGCGGCGGCCGGGCGCGCGGGCCCGCGCGGAGTCGGGAGTGGTAGTCTTTTTGCCCGCGGTCCGTGGCGCCTGCCGGGACCCGCCCTCCTCGCCGCCCCGCGGGCGGGAGGAGGGAGCGCCGCTGTGGCGGGAGAGTCGTCGCCACGTTAGCAGGTGGCCCCGCTTGCTAGCGGCCGCGTGACCGTCTTTGCCCCCATGGGAGGCGCCTCAGCTTGTGGTGGTTTTCGTGCCCAAACACGTTTCAAGCGATTAGATGCCTAGTATGTCCCTAATCGTAAACAATAAAAGGATCATAACGTGGGGTAAAGGGAAGATCCTAGCAGGCCGCTTTTTTTAATCAGGAAAGTTTATCCTTTTCTGTTACTCTTTCCCGTATGTCTTTTGAGATATGCTGCCTTGTAGAAATGTAATTTCCTTTTTTCTGTAATTTTGGTGTCTTTACTGACAGCAGCCTCTGAACATCACGTATTTGTTTGCAAAGGTGCTGGGCTAAGTTGTGGCGGAGCAGTTAAAAGGGGTCTTTGGTTGTTTGTCTTAATTATTTCAAACAGACTTTTTCAAACAGAAACCACCCCTTTGGCAAATGTGCTTGTGTCAGGGCCTTGCCCCTGTCCTACACTTCCTTTCTTTGGCACCTACATTCATGACTACTGAACGTCTTGGTAGTCGGAAGACAGGAGTTCCAGATTCTGGTTTCCTGCTTCCGAAGCTTTGTGACGTTAGGAAAATCGAGTGACCTCTCTGGGCTTCAGTTATCAGATGTGTAGAGTAAGCGGGACTGGATTAGAGGATTGACTAATGGGTTACACAGACATCTGTTAGCTTTTCTCTAAGGGCCCTGCCAGTTGTAAAGTTCAAAAATCTATCTCCTCGTACTTACTATGCAGTTTAATGGACTTCCTAAGTCAGATTTTAACCTTTCCTTCCGTCCTTACCAGCAGGATGGTTTCTGTATGGCTATCTAAAATCTGGACCAACCCTACCTGTCCTTCCTGATTTCCCTCTGTAGCTGTGAGGATCCTTTCTTCACTCTGATGGGGGCAAAAGGCAAACTGAGGGCAAAGCGGGCCCTGACACTGCACAACCCACCCCCCTTGAGGGGGGATTCCTCAGGTACCAGTAACCGCTAAGAACGAAGCAAAGGAAGAACGAATGGTCAACCGATAAAGATCACAGTCATGTAGGGCTTGAAACTCCGCTACAGTTTGTAACTGTCTTAATGATTTACAAGGAAAACACAATCTTAATAACAGACCTCCAGGAACCTTGGACTCAATCTCCTGGAGCCCTAGTCACCTCCACCTCCATAGGGTAGAAAACCCTGTATGATCCGTCACTCCTGACAGTCACAACGCGACTCTGCCCACGGATCTTCTCCCCGTGCCGTAATAAAAACATCTTTCCTCGCTGTGAAGTGTCTCAAGAATTCTTTCTTGGCCAGTGGGCTTGACAAATCCCATATCGACTCTCCCCCAAACGTATCTTTGCCTTTCACTGTCCCCTAGCCTCTCCGCCTGTCTAAACCTCAATATCCTTCAGGGCCCAGCTCGAGCCTTTTTTTCTCTCTCCCTCGTCCCTTTTTCTCTCTCCCTAGGCTGAGTCTCCCTTCAGGGTCAGCCCACATGAATTATTAAGAACTGGCACTGAAAATATGCTAATTGTATTATTTTATGTCTGTTTCCCTATCTGCCTCCAACTCTGTCCATCCATCCACCACCCCTGTCACCCAGCTACCATGAAAGCAGAATGTTTATTTATTTTTTTATGTTTATTTTTTTTTATGTTTATTTATTTTTGAGAGATGGCTTACTTTTTTAAAGTTTATGGGTGGGGGGGGAGGGGCAGAGAGAGAGGGAGAGAGTCCCAAGCAGGCTCTGAGCTGACAGTGAGGAACCCTATCCGGGGCTCGAACCCATGAACGGTGACATCATGATCTGAGCCTAAATCGAGAGTCGATTGCTCAACTGAGTGAGGCATCCGGGTGCCCCAATCTTATACATTTTTTTAACTGCTTCCCTTATACCTGCTAGTTGTTTATTTTAATTTCATTTGAAAACAGAATTTTCACTTCAAAGCTCTCATTCAATCCTTTTCCCTCTTTTCATCGAACTAAGCATATGCCAAATTATTTTTTAGATTCAAGAACTATTAATGTGTATTTTTTTTACATGGTTATTTCTTATTTTATTGACTGGTAGTTTCACCTTGTCGGAGGTGTAAAGCTAAATTAGGACTTTAAAAATGTAGAATAATGAAGGGGGTGAGTAGTAAACTAGGAAGATGCGTGAAACTTTGGGTTGGAATCAGAGTGAAAGCCTGTTGACTGAAGGGAGGTCCTTAGTTTCCTCCTACAACGATCTCCCGGTTGACTCAAATCTATATTAATGAATGTTTATGAAAAACTCGTATTTTCACAAAATGCCATTAGATGGGAGAAACGGCCAGGATAGAAGGATGTGGCCATGGGGGATGCCAGTCTGCAGCAGGGATGGCTGGGCTGGAGGTTAACCTGCAGGTTAAGAGCAGGCTGGGAAGAAGCCTAGAGGCAGAGCTTGGCACATTCACCAAAAGCCCCAGCTTTCCAGTCAAAAGTCTCGGGGATGCTTTCCTCAAACAAGGTGTATTAAATGGAAAAAACAATCTGGGCTTGGTAGTCAAATGAGTTTGGGGAAAAGTTGATTAAACAAAATCACACATTTCCTTCCCGTAATATTTTACCGCCTTTAATGTGCTTGGCATTGCCCGGAGTTACGTGACCGTGGATTCCATCTAGGCTCCCTCCTGGATCATCCTGCCTCATTAGTGTTCCCCAGAATGGACCTTAGTAAAGGAGGCTTCAAAGCTTTCCCTTTTGGAGGAAGCATTGTGTAGTGAAAAGACTATGGTCATTTGGAGCCGGAAAAACTTGGGTTTTTAATCCTTTCCGCTACTTTCTGGCAACATGACTTCAACTGAATTTCTTCGCTCTCTGAGCCTGTTTTCTCATCTGGGGAGAAAGGATGATGTTGCTCACTTCCTTTGCGGGGCTGTTGCAGAGATTAAGGAGAAGTATGTGCCCGACTCAGAACTTCATTCCCTCTTTACCTGTAATGGTCAACAGGTTGGTTTTTTGTTTTTTTCAGGGGGTTTCTTTCGGTAGAAAGCCTAGAAAATGATAATGACACGGCCCCTCCCGCTTCCATTTGGAATGTTTTATTTAAAAGGCAATATTTCAATACCAGCCCAGCATCCTGGGAGCCACCAACGACCATCTGATTTCAGGGACTTTTAGAATCTCGTTGAAGTATTGTGATTTAGATTTTGGTTTGTTTTACAAAGAAATGGGTGGGGGCAGGGAGCTTTGCTACTTTAACGACAACGAGTGGAGCTTGCCAGGCTGAAAGAGAGGCGATCATTTGCCCTGAACAGTTACATTTTCATCATTTTTGTAGAGATTATGGGTTATAACCAGCAGTAACCAGCCTGGATTTCTCCAATTGACAATCAGCTTGGTGAGTGAAGAATCTTATTTTTCTTGCTCCCCGTGACATCTCCAGAGATGGTATAATGCCAACATGTAAATAAGATAATTGTTTAGTGAATTAGTATGTCTTTATCAATTTCACCATTCGAAGCAAAATATGCAATATTAGATTACAAAGGACCCTAGAGATAGTTAGGCCAAACAACTCATTTTATAGATGGGGAAACGGACGGTCAAATGATTTTCCACAAATACTTTGGGATGGATTTTATTTGTTTTCCTTATAAAAAAAGATATTATTATTATTTTTTTAATATGAAATTTATTGTCAAATTGGTTTCCGTAAAACACCCAGTGCTCATCCCAACAGGTGCCCTCCTCAATGCCCATCACCCACCCTCCCACTCCCCATCAGGGGCGCCTGTGTGGTTCATTCGATTAAGCCTCCAACTTGGGCTCAGGTCCTGATCTCACGGTTGGTGAGTTCCAGCCCCACATCAGGCTCTGTGCTGACACCTCGGAGCCTAAAACCTGCTTCGGATTCTGTCTCCCTCTCTCTCTGCTCTTCCCCTGCTCACGCTCTCTCTTTCTCAAAAATAAACATTAAAAAAAAATAAAGTCATTAAATCAAATCTACAGTTTTTAAAGAAGAAAAGTAATATATTTCTGTCATTAAAATAGTGTTTATGCACCTGAGAAATGTTTTAAATGAGTGATACCCAAAAAAGCCACATATTTTCTTTCTTTCTCTAAACAATGATAGTATTTGTCATAAACATGGTACCATAATTAATCTCCTCTTAAAAATTATTTCACTTTCCGCCTCTCCCTTTCTTTCACATTCTCCTCTCCCAATATTACTTCTTAAAACCTATGCATTTAAGAAGAATTTTTTTATGTTGATTTATTTTTGAGAGCAAGAGAAACAGAGCATGAGTGGGAGAGGGGCAGAGAGAGAGGGAGCCACAGAATCGGAAGCAGGCTCCAGGCTCCGAGCTGTCAGCACAGAGCCCAATGCAGGGCTTGAACCCACAAACCGCAAGATCATGACCTGAGCTGAAGTCGGCCGCTCAACGACTGAGCCCCCCAGGTGCCCCCAAATCTATACATTGTAACTGAAACTATCAAGGTTCTGATTTCTCTGTTCCTTAATCCCCCCCACACACACACCCCCGACCGAACACCATTAATGACAGATCTTGAAATTCTGCCACACACATATCACTGCATTTTTGTTTTCAACCTTTGCCTTTTCAAGACTCGAGATTGCCTTAGAGCGCTGTTACACCAGATTCCAGAGGGCACGTAATAGTTAACAAGCTGCTTTTAGTCAGTGGTGTTGCAAATACTGCTCTGAAGTCACAGATCCCTCACTTGTCTGAAGCTCCCGGCCTCTAAGGAAACCCAGCTCAGAGAAGTCGGCTCTGCAGAGCTGAGAAGTCATGGAAATGAGCACGGCCAAATCTGATATTCCATTGAGGGAATAGGTCACCGTTTTAGCAATTGCTTCGTGCCTGGTTCATTAGATCCTCAGCCTGTCTTTCTCATAAACGTATTTTAATCCCGTTGGGCGCACGTGTCCTTTATCAACCGTGGCATTTGCATGATACTTTCAGTTTTTGCAGTGTTTTAAATCGTTAGTCAAAACAATATCTCTGCACGGTTTGGATGAAAAACTGTGGATTTGTTTTCCCTTTTGCTTCTTCTACTCCTCCTGGGGTCCTCTGTCTGGTTTTTTAATAAACTCCAGGGAGACTTGTTGGATTTGATTGGAGAAAGGTGTAGGTGACATGGTATCAGTTTTTCACCATGAAGTGTCTGGGAAAATCAGAGCAAGATGCTCACGAGGATGCCCTATGTATAGAGCCGCAATGGAATGTCCAGAATAAAGTTCAGCATAGCCTAAGGCAGTCTCCTCCTGAAGATAAGTTTCAACGTAGAAGACCTTTAGGGTTCAGAAGTGAATTATTTATTAGTAGACCACATAATTCCTGCTTAGTGAAGAAAACAACACAGAATTTTTTTTTTTACGTGTATTTATTTATTTTGAGAGAGACAGAGAGTGTGAGTGGGGGAAGGGCAGAGACGGGGGGGGGGGGGTGGGGGGGGTGGCGGAGAGAATCCCAAGCAGGCTCTGGGCTGGTAGCGCACAGTCTGATGTGGGGCTTAAACTCACAAACTGTGAGATCATGACCGGTGCCGAAACCAAGTCGGAGGCTTAACCGACTGAGCCACCCAGGCGCCCCACATCCTTAAGATTCTAGATCATAATTGTCAAATCGAATTTTTCAGTATAGTTTTGTTCCTGTTCTCCATCATTCATTCATTCATTTCTTCATTCCAGCAAATATTATTTGAGTGTTTTCAATAGGCTGGTTGTTACTCAAGGCACCGGGGATACAAAGCTTGATAAGACCAGTACCTGTGTCCTTCAGCAATGCAATCAGGAGAACAGAATGAAAGGAAAAATTAACTTTCGTTTGAAATATTTTTTTTTTCTAAAACCTCCTTTCAAATCAAAGAGAGCTACAACTCTTTCTCAAATATCTTGCTGATAATTATAATGAACACTCAGTGCCCTAGCCAGTCGTGGGAATATTCTAGCTTCCCATTCTGGTTTTGGTCAAGCCAAAAGAATGGGTTGGATCACAGACTCATTTCCCACCAGGTGGGCAAAAGGCACTTTTAAGGAAGGCCTGCCACTTTTATGTTTGGCTGTTTTTGAATAATAGAAATCTCTCAGATTTCTTTTGTTTGTACAATTCTACATTCTCTTATTTTAAAGGGTGTAATTTTAAAGTTAGATGACTACCCTGCCTTACCTTTGCCACAGGTGGTGGACATGAAGGTTTAATACACTTGGCGAATTTCAGGTGTTAAATATAGTCGACGACTTTGGTTAAAGTACAAATAGAAAACACCCCCTTACCCTACACCGTTCCCACAGCACT